TGGTTTGATGCTGCTGGTAGCCTGGGTGATGGCACAAACCCATCTCTCATGTTAGAAGCAAAGGAAAGCCAGTGAGATGCGGCGTCTCTGCTTCCTGAAGTGGCTGTGGCTGGTTGGTTTCCTGTTAGCTCCCTTCCTCTCAGAAAAACAGAGGCTGGGAAGAGCAGGATTTGAAGGAAAAGTAAAGACTGGAAAAGACTCCAGGCCTTCTGGATGAAGTTTAGGGCTCACATGCGATGTGTGCAAGGAGTTGGCCTGGAGTCAGACAGCGCTCCAAGAAAGTGCTGCGTTGGTCCTTTTGGGGTTTTGCACACCACCCCTGTTGGCTATGGCAGCAGCGAAGCAAGGAGATTCCTGGCAAGACCAGAGAACCAGCTGGAAAACTGCAGGCGCTGGGATGGGGGGTGGGGGGTGGGGTGAGCGGGAACCCTAGATGGGTGGTCTCAGYTGAGTAGCCTGGAGCAAGCAGAGGGGCTGGGATAGAGGCCTTTTCCATGAGCAGAGGCAGCCCAGAGGCCACATGAGGGTGAAGGATGACTGCAGGCCACTAGAGGGGCTTCACTCTCAGCTGTATCCTGGGGAGCAGCCTAGGGGACAGCTTTGAGAGCAGCTTGGCAAAGCAGCCCTGCCTTCAGGGATTGAGATGGAAGACCTGCCCCAGCCCTGCCATTCTCAACCACCCACCTGCACCTCACCGAACCCCTCTGGATCACCCAACTCCCTATCTACAAGGAGGATTAACAGTGCCCCCCTGGTGGGGGACATTGACATTGAGAGGATTAGAAAGGTCACATGTAGATTCTAGGGGAAAATTCACTGAATCAAGGGACTTGGGGAAATGGTGCAGAGACCCGAAAATGTAAGGCTAAAGACAAAGACAACCATTTGTAAACCTTGTTGTCTGTTTGGTAAAGTAGTTTCACATAAGGTCAGGCTTAGTACTGCTGAAGGAGATGGACGTGCACACCAGACTCAACAGAAAGGTACTTGGATGGTGGTGGTGGGAGCCATCGTCCAAGTTGTCCTAGGAAAACCGCAGTGCTCACTCTCACTGGCCGTTCAGTTTCCCTGACCGGACAARGGAGGCACCCAGAACACAGAGGCTAGTCAATGAGCTGTCCTACTAGGGCATATTTAAGTATTACAGTAACAATCAACAGCCATTCAATTATTTTGGCTGCAAAGCAAATTGCCCCAAAATCTAGTGCCTAAAAATCACCTTTTACTATGCTCAGTTTCTGTGGATGGGGAAATTCAGGCAGGGCACAGAGGTGGTGGCTTGTCTTTACTCTGTGATGTCCAGGGCCCTAGATTAAACTCAAAAGCTTGGAGGCAGAATCATCTGGAGTCACTTTCTGGTGGCTAACTGAGACCTTCGTTGGGTCTGTTGCTTATGACACCTTCCTGTGGCCTCTTCATGGAATATGAGCTTCCTCACAACATGGTGGATGAGTCCAAAAGAGAGTGGAAGCCATATCATCTTTTATGAGCTTCCACTGACAGTCACAAAGCATCACTCCTCTGGATTCTATTGGATGAAGCAGTTACAAAATCCACTCAGGTTCAGAAAAAGGGATCCTGTCATGCTGTAAGGAGAGCATGTGCATCTCCTTACAGCATGACAGGATAGAATATGCATTGGCGTAGCAATCTTTGGGAAATCCAGACTCCCAGAGCTTCATCTTATCTTTCTCCTCTTCTGAGGTCAATGCTCTTTCCTCAGGTGTGGTTATTTTCAGATGTTCCATGTGCCTTTGCATAATGGACACTATAGAATTTGATTTGGGGCTTTTGTGAAGAATGTCATGTTTAATTTTTACATATATAGGATCATCTCTACATTCTCTTGCATCTTGAATTTTCATGTGAAAGGAATTTATCAGTACTTCTTTTTTAAAATTATAGAGCAGTGTTCCATAATTTGATTATGTTGTAATTTATTTAACCATTTCTCTATTTTGATGAATCTTTGAAATGTTTCCTATTTTTCTATTATTAAACGGTGCTGCAGTAAATAATTCCCTAGGTGCCAATTTATGTATGTAGCCCCAAAGAGACTGTTTATCAGGAAAAGGATGATAGTTACGTGTTTAATGAAAGAATATGCCCACTTGTAATTGTAAAGGGTATCACCACATTTCCTCTGAGAAGGAAAATTACATTGTTAACAATACAGTATAAGAAAATTCATTTTCTTGAATCCTCACCAGAACTTGGTGTTATCAATCATGTTAACTCTTGCCTATGTTATAGGTGGAAACTGATGTACTGCATATCATGGTTTTTAGAGTTGTAGTTCCCTTATTAAAATTGGATTGAACATCTTCTCATACATTCACCAGCCATCTGCATTTCTTCTCATGGGAATTCCCTGTTCATTTCCTTTACTTGTTTTTCTGTTTTGTCTCACTAAAAGAGAGAGAAATGCAAATTGAAACAGTAAGATATTTTTAAAACAATGAAGTTAAGGAAAATGACCATGACCCATAATGCTTATGAAGATTATCATTTTAAGTGAAGAAGATCAACCCTATAATTATAAATGTTATTTTGTATTTTCTTTCTACATATTTTTAATTAAAACACAACATCGGAACCATATGAAACCATTCTAGTTGTTTCACACCAAAGTTAATTTTTTATAATAGTAAATGCAATCTTGTGTATCATTTAATTGGCTGAGTCTTCTTTTCCTCCATACATTTGTTATTGACATTATCCCTTAAAAACTTTAACCTCCCCCAGCTAGGTGTGGTGGCACATGTCTGTAATCCCAATGATTCCGGAGGTTGAGGCAGGAGGATGTCAAGACCAGTCTCAGCAACTTAGTGAGATCTTGTCCCCCAAAATAAAAAGGAATGGGGATGAAGCTCAGTGGTAACATGTCCCTGGTCTCAACCTCCAGTGCCTACTCCTCACCAAGAAAGGGATGGGGGATGTTGCTTAGGGGTTCAAACCCAAGTACCAAAAAAAAAAAGAAAGAAAAGAAAGAAACAAAAAAACAAAACAAAAATTCTAACTTAAAATATTTATTTCTCAACTAACTGTCATATTGTTGATCTTATTTTTTTGGGTGTGCTGTTACACCCTTGTTTTTGTTAGGCAGTTCTCTATATTTATTTGGCTAGAAAAAATACTTTTAGAGTGCAGTGGGTGCATGCCTGTAATCCCTGCAACTGCTGAGGCAGGAGGATCCCATGTTCAAAGCCAGCCTCAGCAATTTAGCAATGCCCTAAGCAACTTAGGGAGACTGTCTCAAAATAAAACACTAAAGAGTACTGAAAATATGACTCAGTGGTTAAGCACCCCTGGGTACCAGAAAGAAAAATGAATGTCTCTTTGTTGTTGCAGGTGTGACGTTTCATCATTCGTTGGAGCTCCCTATGTTTTCTTCCATGCAGGGGCCTCACCCTCTGGGCAAGAGAAGGAGGCAGGAAGATGCTGGCAGTGTGGGTGATGTTGGTATTGCTTCTGGAACATTAGGATTATTTTCAATCCATCACCTTTTAGGAAATTCTAAACAGAATTGAGGAGACTGAGCAGGGGTTGGGAAAGAATTAGCTGCAGAGCAAAATGGTGCTGAGTGCGCTAGAGGAAGTATGTTCAAATGTGAGGACATCCTGGAGCTAAGAGACAAGGCGTGCTGGATTTGTGCCAGGCTGACTGTGGCCAAAGCATGGTTTGTGCAAGTGGAGGAGAGGCGAGTCTCAGAGTCCTCCTGGGAGAGAACCAGCATGCCCTGGAGCTGCAGAGATCTGAGGTGCAGAGAGAGCAGCCAGCTCCACGAGGCACGGGATGCCTTTGTCAACCTGATGTGTTGGTTGCTTATTCATCCATTAATTTGACAGTTATTTCTAGAGTGCTTGGTCATATGTTAAACATTGCTCTAGATACTAGGAATATAATTAGGGGAAGAAAGGACATCTCTACTTTCTTGGAGCTAGCATTTAAGGAGGAAGAGAGATACAGGTAAGTACATGGGGCACACACATGAACATTATGTATTCCTGAGGGTGGTGACACCATAACAAAAAGCCAGTTAGTCTCAGGCAACAGAGACGGAGAGCTGAAGAGTATGCTTTCCTTTGTGGAATGAGCAGCCTTCTCTGATGAGGTGACATTTCAGCAGAGATGGGAATGAGTGAGCCCCACAGGGAGGCAGGGGAGAGAGCCTAGAAAGACAGGAGGAAAAACAAGTACCAGGCCCTGAGCCTGGCAGAGGAGGACCCCTGGTAGGTTTGAGCAGCAGAGAGAAGTCTGGAGCTGAAGGAACGGAGCCAGGGTATATATACAGGAGACAGGTGGAGGCTCAGAGGGCCGAGGAGCCTAAAGAGGACCAGGTGGGAGCTCTGGGCCAGGTAGTATGGAGGAGGTGAGATTTCTTTTTTTCATCCTGTGCCCATGGTGTGAAATAGGCCCATTTGGATGTGGGGTGATGACATAGGTATGTGAGCGTGTGTGTGGTCGAGTGCATCTGGTGTGAGTTTGTGTGTGTGTATGTTTGTGGGGTTAAGTGAATGTGTGTGTCTTTCATATCCAGGTGTGTGTGAATGTGTTGTGTGTGTTCATGCTACTGTGTGGAACATTTGTGTGTGTTCAAGCATTTTTAACTTATGTGATCATGCATGTGTGTGCACGTATCTATGTGTGTATGAGTGTCTATGTATGTGTTTATATGTTCATGTCTCTATGTGCATACATGTATGCATCTGTGTTTTGTGTTTGTATCCCTGATAACACACCAGACAGAACAGGTCTAAGGAGGAAATGAGCTCACACTGGGAAACCTCTCCTATCACCCTGGCTGGGTCTCTGTCCTTGCTGTGAGTCATAGAACAGACCCATGTCACTGATGACATCATAGAACATAGTCAGGATCCTAGTGACCGTGAAAGCCCAGCAGCCACTGGGCTGGGGCCAGCCAGAGGGCTTCAGTACAGCCCAAGCCAACTTTCACCAAACAGCTGGAGCACTGAGACCCTGGGTGCTGACTTCAAATCATGAGACGCTTTTTCATGGACCACAGGGGAGAACAGTCACCCATTGATGGGACCACCCTCAGCGTGACCAGCCCTGAGTCCACAGAAGAGAATATGGAATTGTGCCATCCAGGTGGGTCAAAAGGAAGGGCTGGAGTTGAGCTAGGTATACTCCCTGGGACGGAGACCCAGGGCAAGGCATTAGGAGTGTGTTCACCATCAAAATTGATGGGGATGAAGGAGGAAATCAGTCTTTACAAGAGACCTAAGCTGCTATTCAAGTACCCAAGGTGGTTTCAGGAGATATATGTTTGAAAATGTGAGATGTTCACCATTGTATGTTTATTTTTATGTGTCTTTGAAGAAATAACACGTTGATCCTTTGACTTTAGCAGTGCTGTAAAAATTCCTTTATAATCAATTGATTCAAGTTAGTCTAGAACATCCATCTGAACGCTACCAGGATAGGTCCAGGCAAAGGAGGTATCCTCAGGGTAGCATTTGCTCTGGAGGCCAAGTGGCTCTGTGGGTCATTTAAAGTCTCTGTGTCTCAGTTTCCTCATCTGTCAAATGGGAGTTCATAATGATGCAGTTTCTTAGGATTGTTTTGAATATTAAAGGAGTTAAAACATGGCAAGTGCTTATATGGTGATGGATACAGTCAGTGTTCAAGGAGGGATGGGGGAGATACTCCTCTGGGTAAAACAGAGACATGTCACAAACTGAGAAGGAGAAGGAGTGGTTGAATGGCCAAAGCACTTGCCATTCATTGTTTTTGTACATAGACTTCACGGAGCTGTTAATGTGTGTATAAAAACTTCACAGATTTTAAATATTCAAATTTTAAGCATTGTTACAAGCGTACATATGTGTAACCACCACCTGGATCAAGATACAGAGCATTACAACTCTCAACGGTTCCCTCGTGTACCTTTATGGTCAGGGCCTTCCTCCCCACCCCTTAGTCCTTGCTGCCAGCTCTCGGCAGCCTGTTCTGTTCCTATAAATTTGCCTTTTCTAGAATGTCATCTAAATGGAATAAAAAATTGTGCAGCCTTTTAAATCTGGCTTCTTTCATTTAGCAAATGCATTAGAGATTCACCCATATTGTTGCACATATCCATAGTTTATTCATTTTTTTCCTGGATAGAATTGCATCCTGTGGCTATACAATCTGTTTATTCACCAGATGATGGCTTTGGGGGGCTTATTCAAGTCTTTGGTGATAACATTGCATAGAATTACTTGATGCTTACCATCACTGCACACTGCAGGCACTATTGTATCTCTGAGTTATGAGGAAACTGGTAAAGGCAGGTTATGGGACCTGCCCAGGGGCCCCCAAAGCCTGCACCTTCCAGAATCAGTGGCTGTTGAAGTAGGTAATATACAAATCCCTTGGAGAGGGCACTGATGAGAATGTCTTTCTGCTTCTCAGGAAACATGAAGAGTGAGGAAAGATCTCCAGAGCCAGGACCTGCCCTTCCCCATGAGAAGGACGCCCTCTTCGCAGCCCGGGCTCGGGGGATGCTGGGCTGGAGCAGCTCTCCATCCTCCCAGTCCTCAGATTACCAGTCCTACTCCCAATACCGGTCCTGCTTCTCCTGTCTGTGCAACGACCAGGACGCCACCCCGCAGAGCTTGTGCGCCCTCTACACCCGTGTGCAGACAGTACGTGGGGTGGCGGTGGCCTGGGAGACAGAAACTGGCTTCCAGCCGGTCAGCAGGAAGCCCCGCATCCGTGAAGCCGAGTTCATCAAGAGACAGAGGCGGAAAGGCTCTTCCTTTGAGATGGCTTCCAACACTGACCTGCACTGGGAATTGGAAGCCAGCAAAAACAACTGCTGTCCAGAGACCAACGACGCAGAGCTGCTGGAGCCACTGGAGTGCTGCCTCCAGGACCTGCGGACCCACCCAGACTGGCTGGTCACCACCAACCATGGGCTCCGCTGCTTGGCCTGCTGCCGTGTCTTCCCCTCGCTGGAGGCACTGCTGGAGCATGCCCAACATGGCATCCGAGAAGGCTTCAGCTGCCAGATCTTTTTTGAGGAGATGCTGGAGAGGAGGAAGACCCAGGGCCAAGGGCAGGACCAACAGCTGGAGGAAGAGGAACAAAGCCTTTCTAACAGTAGTGAATGTTCCAGGTCCCAGAGCAAGGTGCTTCTTTCACAGCAGCAGGAGGAGGAGGAGAAGCAACAGCAGCAGCAGCAGCAGCAGCAGCAGCAGCAGCAGCAGCAGTGAGCTGGAGGTGAGGTGCCCACCCCTGCCCTCACCTGCAGCACCTGGGGCTGCTCCTTCCCCAGTCAGCAGGAACAGAGCCACCTGGGCAGGGAGAGAGGACCAGGGTCTTGGAGGAAGAAAGCCATGGAGCTTGGAGCAGCAAGACAGGAGGGGAAGAGGCCCTTCCCCAGGGCACAGCATTTCCACCAGCGTCTGTTTCAAACCTGAATCCAAAGCAGAAGGCTTTGAGTATTCCTGATGGTGGGCACCAGATCAGAAACACAAGTGTGTGACTACAGGGATTTCTATTTTTGCTGGGCATCAGCAGGCCCATGCTTGCTCTATAAGTAGATGTGACTCACAAGCAAGCCAACTGCAAATGAAGCTTCCGCCCTATTTTTTTTTTTCATTGTTAGGAATCTGTCATATGCCCTAGTTCTATGTCTTATGTTATTGGATTAAACTTGAATAACTCTAAGAAAGAATGACTAATTGAGTGGACGATGTTTTCAGATCATACACATAAGAAGCGGCCATTTCTGTAGGTTACAAACTAGCACGGACCTGGGGAGACAGGTAGCTTTGCAGGATAGACACAAGGCTGGGGAAGTCCTTCTGTGAGTTCATAGGTGTCAACTATATGGGTTTAAATGTTGCCATGAAATTCACTTTCACCTTTCTACCTATTGCCCCTGCAGGTAGTGGTGGTGGTGGTGGGGGCTGCACTCATTCAATGAAAGATATCAATTTCCACCCAGTTTGCGTTAGTAATACCAGCTGCTGGTGCACATACAGGCTGAACATCCCTTATCTGGAGTGCTTGGGACTGGAAGTATTGGGGTGTGGGGTTTTGGGGGGATGGGAGTAAACTCTAAACATAAATTTCATTTATGATTCACATGTCCCTTATACATACATATTGCAGTTAATTTTATATAATACTTTTGGTGAGCCTGTTTAATTTTTTGGTGTGGGTGGGTACTGGGGTTTGAACTCAGAGGCACTCAACCACTGAGTCACACCCCCAGTCCTGTTTTGTATTTTATTTTAGAGACAGGGTCTCAGTGAGTTGCTTTCCACCTCGCTTTTGCTGAGGCTGGCTTTGAACTAGCAATCTTCCTGCCTCAGCCTCCTGAGCTGCTGGGATAGCTTTCCTGTTTTAACTGTGACCCATCTAGAGAAGTCAAGTATAGAATTTTCCACTTGTAATGTTATATCAGACCTCAAAAATTTCAGATTTTGGAGCATTTCAGAGTTCAGATTTGGGGATAAAGGTGCTCCACTATACACCAAACTCTATCACTTCCATCACATAAAAGACACAAAGGGATGGATCACATCGAGGAAGTTGGGGATTCCAGAAGAGGAGCCTCAGATGCAAACCATCTGATCAGGAGGCAAAACCTTTCCAGAAGAGGCACTGCTCACAGGACTTGGAGGATAGGTGGTCTAAACTAGGGTAAGGGTTCTCAATGGCAGCTTTGTTGACATCGTAGGCTGAATGGCTTTTTAGCTGGCCTCTGCCCACTAGCTATTAGTAGCATTGCCTCCCCTGCAGTTGCAGAAATAAAGATATCTTCAGATACAGCTATCCCCTGATGAGTTAGACCAAAACAGGGACCTTAGAGGAGAGAAGACACAGTACATTTTGGCAATTGCCAGCGCTTTGACCTGGCTGCATGTTCCAGGCATTGTACTAAGCATGGGGAATAAAAAGTGAACAAGGGGGGGAAAAATCAGACATGGATTCTGCTATGTGGAGCTTATGGCCAGTGGGTGAGGGGAAATATGTATATATGTATATATATATATATATATATATATATATATATATACACTTAAAATAATTATTAAAGTACTTTTTTGTGGCCTATAGGGCGCTACATAACTCAGCCTTTGCCACTCTTTCCACCATGTGTTAGCATTCTCTGCCTCACTGTGCTCCAACCACAGTGACTGTTTTCCTAACTTATCAAAGCTTTCATACCTCAGGGCCTTTGCACTTGCACACTCTCTGAAGTGGAATGCAACCTTTCCTGTCTTTCCTCAGGTTAACCCTGTGGCTATCCCTTTGCTCACCTCTGAGGTTTCAGCTCTGAGGCTGTCCTTAGTCACGCTGTCTCAGCTTATGCCCCATACTAAGTGCAGCTGGTTTTAAGAAAAAGTGACATAATCAAGTTCATATTTAAAAAGCTAACTTTGCAGTGTATGGGTTGGGATGGCAGCTAAAGGGGAAAGTGAGAAATAGATCATTTAGGAGCCTATTGCACAAGTCCAGGCCAGGGAAGGGAATGACTTGGACAAGACTGGTCACAAGCCAAGAGGGATAGGAATGGTTATATTCAAGACACTGGGAAATTAGAGACCAAAAGACTTGGGGATGGGCACAAGTGAAGACGCAGCAGGGGGTTCTCAAGGGGGACTCTGGTTCCTAGCAGGAGCAGGTGAGGAGTGTGGGCGTTAATTGATAAGGAAGGACTTTGGGAGGAAGATCAGTGTGATTATGTGTGCAAGTTTGTATATGTGCAAGTGTGTACATGTTTGCAATGAGCATGCCTCTGTGTGTGTGTGTGTGTGGGACCATGACATGCAGGAATAAGTGTGGGATAGGGTGACAGGGTCAGTTAGGACATGGGCTCTTCTAAATGCTAATGGCATATTGAAGTAGAGATGTGAAATAGGAAGAGGTTTCTAATTTAGAACTCCAGCAAGTCTGAATTGAAAACCTAAATAAGGAGGTTAACAGAACATGAATGGTAACATGTTTAGGCCCCAGTGGGTAGGTAGAGCAGAGTTAGTTTGGGGTTATTTTCAACTCTACAAACTCTATCCCAGTCATAGGATCTGGAAAATAAGAAATGGGGTGTAGTGCATGTTCTAAGATTTTTCTTCAAAGTCAATCATTAAGAAAAAATGATTCTCAGGATGGTGAGAAGTGTTAAATGCCAGGGAGAGTTAGAGTGAGGAGAGGATGAAATGTTTCCCTCCTCCTTTGATGCCTGGAGGTTGCTCATGGCTCTAATGAAGCAGTCTTCATGGCCAAGAAGGGGAAAGGTCATGGTCAGTCATGGACACAAGACAAACCTCCAGGGACAAGCATGAGACATCCCTGCTGGCAAGTTTAACTAGAAGAAAAAAAAGTCTATAGCTGGACCAAAGGAAACGAAAAACCAAAGTTGATAGAGTAAACCTATGTGGTAATGGAGAGGATCTAGCAGAGACAGAGAAACTGATTGTTCAAGAAAAACTGGGAAAGTCTGAGGAGGCAAGCAGGAGAGAGAGAGGAATGAGTAGATAGGAAAACGATGGGCTTCCAGTGAGTGGTTTGTGTCCTCTGTTGTGCACAGATGAATGGTTAGGTCAGGTAGAACTGTGGAGCCCAAATTAAGGAACTTGAGCACCCCCCACCAAATAACAAGGAAAGATTTTAAGCAAGTCATATTTGCATTTGAGAAAGATCACCTCAATGAATGGGGGAAAGGATGGGTAGGAGAGCAACCCAGAGGACAGGAAGCTTAGGCAGAGATGCTGGCAGGAGGAACTGAAGAGAAATTTTAAAGATTGAAACAATGGAGCATGGCGGGCGGTTGTCGAGGGTGGTGAGAGTAAAGTGTTTAGAATAACTTATGGATTTTTAGGTTTTTTTCTTGGATGGCTGGTGAATGTTGGTGCCATTTGCAAATCAAGGAACATGAGGAGGAAGAGAAGGGGGGGGAGGGGTGGAGGAGGAGGAGCGGGAGGATGACAATGGTTGACTGAGAAGCTAAGCCCCCTTTTGAAGATGCTGAGTTTAAGACAGGAACATCTAGAAAGGGAGTGGAGCTTGGAAGAGTGGTAAAGTAGGATGAAGACAGATTTGTGCCCATCTGCAGGTGTTTTTCATAGCCAGGCAGCCTGGCACCAAACCTATGTTTTAACCATCACACCAGCACTCATACTTTAATGTAAAGACAGATGCAAGGTATTTAGGAGAGCAAACATGTCAGCTCCACAGGCTGTATTTTCTTTAGATTAAGTAGCAACAGCTGGAGACCAGGGAAAAGATGATAGGTATTTAGGACAAATGAAGGATAGCAACAACCTCAGGTAAGCAAACCTTTTAAGGAAAGGATGGCTTCAGCTGACATGGAGGGAGGAGGAGAGGACACAATTATTCTTAAGGTAGTGACGACTGCCTAAACTCAAGTGAGTTAAGTAGTCACTTGTGGTTTAAACCTATCAATTTACAGAGACCTGTGATCTCCAGAGATAGGGGAAACTGGAGGGTTCAGGGGGCTCCCAAACATTCTAGATTATAAACTACTTTAAACTTCATTTTCCCAAACCATAGAAAAAGAGGGAACTCATTTCACAAGACTTACATAAACCTGGATGACAAAGCCTGACAAAGATGACATGAAGCAAATGACATATGAGTCCCACTGATAAACACAAAATGATCACTAATTAAATATAACTGAATATGAAAGGGATAGTTCACCATGACTAAGTTTGCATCATCCCTTGATTAATTAAAATTATTGCATCTAGAAATACTTCATATTGAAAGAACAAATGGTTATCTCAAAAAAATGTTAAATGAACATGATAATCAGAAATAAATCTGTATGTGTATGGTCAATGACCTTGTCAAGAAGGGATACTAAGTTAAGCCAAAGGAGAAAGAATAATCTTTTTATAAATGGTACTGGGACATCTGGATACCTGCATGCAGAAGAGTGAAGTTGGATCCTTCCCTCACACCATACATAAAGATTAACTCAAAATGGAAAAGACCCCAAATGGAAAAAGCTAAAACTAAAACTCTTAAAGGTAACATAGGTGTAAATTTGAAAACGCATCCACACAATATTCATAGCAACATTATTCCTAATAAAAAATGAAAAATAACTATGACTAAAAAGGAAATAACATGGAAAATAGCCCATTCGCTATTTCTTAGTACATTTTTGGTTTCTACAAAAAAATAC